AGTAACTGGATGTTATTTTATGTCTATACATTTTTTTCGAAGTGCATATATAGTTTGAATTGATCAGGACAACAATAGTTATTACCCTTCAGATGTAGTAGTATATTGTTGGAAAATTGCGAGCGAGTATTCTATCATTCCCTTAATGAAAAATAATAACAGTTACCTAACAATTTTGAGGGATTTACCAATACGATCGTTAATATTGTTACATGCACCTCTCCAGCAGACGAGAGGCTACTGAATATGTGACTGAACAAGATCATAGCAGATCTTTAATAAAAGACCACTTTCGCATTTATTTGAACGCAACTATTGCCTTAAAAATTATATTTTCAGGAAAAAATGTACAATGAGTGATATTTTTATTAATAAATTTTCAAAACATTTTTATATTTTTACTGACTTGAACAACGAACCACATTGCTTCTTATTTTTATCCGATCTGATAGAAGAAAATTTTTGTTTTCTTTTGCTAACGGCAAAATCAATTTTGTAGACAATTAATATTTTAGGATAAAACATGAGATTGATGGTTTTACTTTTTTAAAATATTATCGATAAGAAATTTCCTTATTGTTTCCTGTCTGTAACCACCAGAACAACAAATATTAATTAATCCTAATTTTTATAAATAAATCTTTAAGAGAACTTTCACTGGGGTGATATTTTTCTTAAAATTTATATTGAATTCCCCGATTGCACTGATCAAGCAAACGAAAGACAGTACTCATTATTTTTATTTGAATTTGACAGAAAACTACTTTTTTCCAACTAATATCAAGAAAAAATCAAATTTTAAGAAAATATTTTTGGTGTGATTTGTGATTTTTTGATTGATAACATTTTGAAAATATTCATTCCTATAGCATGTACTAATCGGAAGAAGGAACGATATTATTGTAAATTAATATTTACGCAAAGTATTGGTCGAGATAAAAAAGTCAGTGTCACGAGCGGGATTCGAACTCACGACCTTCGGCTAAATACGCCGCTGCTCTACCACTTGAGCTATCGTGACTTCGATCCACTCAGACACCAACTTACCATTTCAACCCCACCTTTCGAATTTTCTCTCCTTTCATTTGTAGCCGAGAATCAATAGATTACACGACATTTGAAAAAAGGGCAAAAAGGCACCGGCGTATTTAGCCGAAGGTCGTGGGTTCGAATCCCGCTTGTGACACTGACTTTTTTTATCTCGACCAATACCTCAAGTAAATATTAATTAATTGAAAAAAAGTTATTCTGTCAACCGGACCACGAACTTTAATGGATTATTGTTTATTTTTATGCGATTCGATAGAAAAAATTTTTTCTCCAACTCTTTCCAAGAAGAAATTAATTTTGAAAGAAAAACAGGTCCAGTGGGTTAATATTTTTATTACATACTTTAATTACATACTCTTCAATTTTATCTAATTCCGACAGAAGAAAATTAATTTTTACAATATTACAAACAGGAATATAAATTTTAATGACGAAAGGTACACAGGTACCAGTAGTAGTGGGTGTGATTTTTGTCTTTTTTATTAATTTATAATTACCTCTTCTATAATTTCAACTCATCGTGATTTCGAATATCAGATGCTCTTTAATTTTATCCAATTGCGATGTGGGAAAAATATTTGTTTAACTATTGCCAAGGGAAAAAATAATTTCTTAAGAAGAAATATATTCAGGGAATGATATTTGTTTTTTTATTCATAAAATTTAATACATTTCCCCATAGCTTGTATTGAACACAACAACGAATAATATTAACCTTTATGTTTATCCCGTTTCGTTATTAGAAACCTGGAAGTGGGTGGAATTTTTGTCGTTTAATTTAGTAAAAAGTATGATACTTTCCCTTTTAATTTGTACTGATCAGGACAAAAAACAACCAGACCGCATGTCACGATTTCTGAATAATTATCGATTAACGGTCACTAATCACCACACAAAAAACAATATTAATCGTTATTTCCATACCACGTTGACATTGGAAAAAAATTTTTTTTTAAACCATTGCCAATGGAAAAATTAAAAACATAAAGGTATACTGGCTGAAATTTTTGTCTTTTCATATAGTAAAATATATAATAATTTCCCGTTCAATTTATACCGATCAGACTTTAGACAATATTCATTTCCATTTCTGCCCTATTTCGAAAAAGTATAGCAATTTCGAAAAAAAAAGTATAGCGTTGGGATTGTTTTCTTTATACTTCGTAAAATATATAATAATTTCCCTTTTAATTTGTATTGATCAGGACAAAAAACCGTATTAATCGCCATTTCCGTCCCATTTTGACAGTGAAAAACTATTTTTTTAAACTAATGTAAATGGAAAAATTAAAAACATAAAGGTATACTGGGTGAAATTTGTATATTTTCATTTAGTGAATTATATAATAACTTCCCTTTCAATTTATACTGATCGGAGCAAAAAACAATAGTAGTCGTCATTTCCGTACCACTTTAAGAGCAAAAAACTATTTTCTTCAAACTATTGCATTATGAAAAAATTAAAAACCAGAACGCTCAGTGGGTGCGATTTTTTTTTCGTAAAATATATATTAATTTCCATTTTAATTTATACTGATCAGGACTACAGACTAAATTAATCTCCATTTCTGTCCCATTTCGATAGTAGAAACTACTTTTTTTAACTACTACCTATGGAAAAAGTAAAAACAAAATAGTATAGAGGATGAGATTTTTTTTCTTTTTATGTCGTAAAATATATAATAATTTCCCTTTTAATTTATATTGATCATGACAAAAAAACCATATTAATTGCATTTCCGCTCATTTTGACAGTAGAAAAACTTTTTTTTAAACTATTGCAAATGGAAAAATTAAAAACATAAAGGTATACTGGGTGAAATTTGTATTTTTTCATTAAGTGAAATATATAATAATTTCCCGTTCAATTTATGCTGATCAGGTCAAAAAACAATATTAATCGTCATTTCCGTTCCACTTTGATAGTGGAAAACGATTTTATTCAAACTATTGCACTATGAAAAAATTAAAAACCCGAACGCTCAGTGGGTGCGATTTTTTTTATTTCGTAAAATATATAATAATTTCCCTTTCAATTCATACTGTCAAGGACTATTGACAATATTAATGTCCATTTCGATAGTAGAAAAGTACTTTTTTTAACTAGTACCTATGGAAAAAGAAAAAAGTATAGTGGGTGGGGTGTTTTTAAATTTCGTATTATATATTCTAATTTCCCTTTCAATTTATACCAGAAGGCTCTGTGGATGGGATTTTTTTATTTCGCGAAGTATATATTAATTTCCCTTTTAATTTATACTGATCAGGACTATAGACGATATTAATCTCCATATCTGTCCCATTTCGATAGTAGAAAAGTACTTTTCTAAACTATTATTTAATGGCAAAAGTAAAAACAAAAAGTATAGTGGGTGCGATTTTTTTAAAATTTCGTATAATATATTCTAATTTCCCTTCCTATTTATAGCAGAAGGCTCAGTGGGTGGGATGTTTTTATTTCGTAAAATATTTAGTATAGACAATATTAATCTCCATAACTGTCCCATTTCGATAGTAGAAAAGTACTTTTTTAAACTATTACTTAATGGCAAAAGTAAAAACAAAAAAGTATAGTGGGTGCGATTTTTTTAAAATTTCGTATATTGTATTCTAATTTCCCTTCCAATTTATAGTAGAAGGTTCAGTGGGTAGGATTTTTTTATTTCGTAAAATATATATATAAATTTCCCTTTTAATTTATACTGATCAAGACTATAGACAATATTAATCTCCATATCTGTCCCATTTCGATAGTAGAAAACTACATTTTAAACTACTGCCTATGGAAAAAGTAAATTGGGTGGTTTTTTTAAATTTTAAATTTCGTAAAATATACACTAACTTCCCTTTTAAATTGTATTGATCCAGTCAAAAAACAATATTAATCGACATTTCCATCGCATTTTGATAGTAAGAAAACTATTTTATTTAAACTATTGTCTATGTAAAAATTAAACCACAACACCTAGCGGGTGAAATTTTTGTCTTTTTATTTAGTTAAATGCACAGTAATCTCCTTTTTAATTTGTACTGATCGAGACAAAAAATAATAATTATTCATCATTTGAATCCGATAGAGGAAAACTTTTATTTTTGCGAACTACTTCCGACGAAAAAAGCATTATTTTGGAAAAAAGTGAATAGGCGTTTTTTGATTAATAAACTTTATAATTGGGTAGATAGTACTGATCAGAATAACGGAGAAGTTCAACCTTCACTTTTTCACATTCTGCTAGTAGAAAATTTTTAAACATCGAACTATTGTCTGAGGAAATGAGTATTTTTTGAGGGGGAAAGGTATAATGGGTGTCATATTTTCTCTTTTATTGTTAAAATTTATAGAAGCGAGATGATTCCTGCATATATGGTTCAAATCCAATGTATAACTGACGTTTTGCAAGTCATGTCATAATAATTAACTTCACTAATTTCGTGGTCCGCTTGACCAATTAATATATTAAAATTAATTAAGGTTTTTAGTTGAGATAAAAAAGTCAATGGCCCGAGCGGGATTCGAACCCACGATCTTCGGCTAGATACGCCGCTGCTCTACCACTTAAGCTATCGTGACCTCGATCCATTCGGACACTAACTTCCCATCTAACCCCACCTTTTTGAATTTTTGAATGAAAAATGGCAAAAAGGAGGGAAAATTCAAAAAGGTGGGGTTAGATGGGAAGTTAGTGTCCGAATGGATCGAGGTCACGATAGCTTAAGTGGTAGAGCAGCGGCGTATCTAGCCGAAGATCGTGGGTTCGAATCCCGGTCGTGCCATTGACTTTTTTATCTCAACTAAAAACCTTAATTAATTATAATAATTAACAATAATTCTAGGTGATACGTTTTCCGTCAAATCAGTCGATCCTTCAATCACATCCTTAACATTCAGCACAAATATTTCTGTGAAAAGACGCCACGTCTCTTACTTCAACAATAAATTCATTGCCTACCTTCTCTCATACAGAACGCCAAACTATGTAATTTAGATATAGATCTCATGAGTGAGAGTGAGGGAGATACTGTCCCGCAGAAACTCAGATTACAACTGAAAGTTGTTTTTAAGTATTTTTCCTCTAGTTGAGGTATTTTTGTCTAATCTCGTCGTTATGTGGAGCAATTGATAAAATGAGAATCGGAGAAATGATTAATTAGCATGAGGGCGGGTCAATGTCTCGGTGATTTCTCGATAATGTCACATTTTTTGGTCAACAACGCGTTTTAAAAAATTCGATTTTTTCGCAGTCCGAGATAAAGTTGTAGTGGACCGAGGTCGGAAGTGACCGGTTTGAAATTTCATTGACTAAAAGGACCCTCGCTTTCTCAAATAACAGGGGGAATCCGACAATATTTTTCTTCTCATTAAGACCGGACGACTGTTTTTTAATCGAGAGGGTAACGTTTGTAACATCCTATCGTATTTTGCGTCATCCGAAAGATAATTTTCACGGCTCACCATGAGGGGTCTGCGAAAATAAATCCTCAGAATGACACGATTGCACTGTTTGACCGAAATGTTTTATACACCCAAGATTCAACAAACACCTTCAACTTTTGGCAGTGAATCATTTAAATCATCACACCAATATATAATACCTCAATAACTCACTGAAAGTTATCATTATCGATTCTAACATGTAACTCTTATTTTAAGTCCATTAGGTCGAACATGAGGATGTAAATGTTTAATCTATTAGAGAAAAACAGAAATTAAACACTTCCATCAATTTTTATTCAGTACTAAAATCTCCATAACCGGCCAGGTCTAAAACAACTAACATAGATAACGCTTCAAAAGAAAAAATGCATGCACAGTCTTTAGACGTCTCTCAGGCGTTTAAAGATAATTGCTGATATACAAATGGAAGAAATATCTTACAATAAGCATGAAAAACATTACCTGGTTATCAGAAAGAAAAGGAAGACATTGGTTGCTCTTAGCGAAAGGTAAGTAAAAAGAAGTGCAACACAAGGGAGTGTTCTGAGTCGATAGGTTTGGTCATTTCCAGTCATTTTGGTCCGTCAAGGGTTTGACGATCATTTCTAAAATACAAACTGAGGAAATCTCTGACAACATATCATGTTAAAATTTCTTATGATTATCAGAAAGATAAAGAAGGCATTGGTTGCTCTTAGCGAAAGGTAAGTAAAAACATATGCATCTCAAGGGAGTGTTCTGGGTCCATAGGTTTGGTCATTTCCGTCATTTTGGTCTATCAGGGGTTTGACGATAATTTCTAATATACAAACTCTGACAACATATCATGTTAAAACTTCTTATAATTATCCGAAAAATAAAGAAGGCATTGGTTGCTCTTAGTTGAAAAAGAAAAAGCAGTTGTACCAAAAGGATGTGTGAAGTTCGATCATTTTATTCTGCCAGGCATGTTCCGCTTTCTTGCCTTCTTCACTGGTGGCTCTTAGCACTGTGATTGTGCGTTGATCAATAGACGATAGGCAGATCTGACGGAATTCTAAAAGTCAAATTGACGAATTTTCAATGGCCAAGCAGTGCCCTTTTATGATTTCTTCTTGCCTTCTTCAGGCTTTTTAATAGTTACTGCGCAAGGCAAACAATAACTTATGAAATAGCCAGCTATACTTTGCACTCTCCCTGCTGTTAGGTCATTCTTGCACCCCTCAACCCTTTCAGTGTGCTAAACGTGCGACACGAATCGTTATGTAGAATGTAGATTTCTATTCTGCTCAGTACGAAACCCACAGAGAAAAAATTTTCAAAAATTAATTACCGAAATGAAAAGATACTGGGAATAGTCAAGGACCCATGTGTTGCTGATGCAGCTAAACTACCTGTTACACCTCGTCTATCAAAATAGGACTTGTGCTCTACTATATATTGCTTGTACTAACTATCGATTTTCAAGCTTTTTGTTATCCTCCATAGCCTTGATTGTCAAACATCGACTTTCCTGGAAGTTTTTTTGCCTGTGAGTAGACATCATATATTTCCATATGACTATTTAATCGGCAATGCCCAGGTAAGATGAATGATCTTCAGCTTTGTCCGACTTTGGTGGTGAAGGTATATAGTAATTTCAGATTTGATAGTTTTGACGAAGTCTTTTGCTATTTGACTTGGGGGAAGTTGATCCACTAATTCAACGAAATCATTCATCCATAAGGTGATTCCTTTTTCCTTCCATGACTGAAGATAGCGATATGCCGAACCGCTTTTAATAAAATAGCGAGGATAAGCAGACCAGAAAGAAGTACGGTCTAAATGAATTTGTATTTTTGAAAGGCAACTGGTAGAGCTTTTGGATCAAAATATAAATATTCAAATTAAATTTGATTAATCAGTTGTAAATGAAATGATAATTTCAAAATGATAAAATCTGACAGAACAGAATAGCGAAGATAGACGAACCAACGTTAATGGAAACGACTCGAGCAGTTTCAACAACAATTAAGAAGCCTACTATCTTTCACAATAATATCTTTTCCCATGCAGATCTCAACGAACAATATCACACTCTAAAGAGCAGTTTAGTCGTTTCCGATCAAACTATTCTGGTTGAAACAGGCATGACAGACTGACAGATGTAACCATCGAGATCAGTCGGTTCTTAATTCATTGACGAAACAAATTATTAGATTAGATTTGATAGAAATGGCTAGAATGTTATGTGAACTACGTCCAGACCTATGGAGCTCTTCATCATATTGGAACCTATAGCTCACTTATCTCGCTTCAAGCGTTTAACCCTTATAACAGTGACAGCATCTCTTCAGTTATGTTGTATTTTTATGTATTTTATTTGTTTTATGTATTTTTCCATGAGTGGAACCTTCTTTGGTCTTCATTGTAATCTTTAATATGTACAGCGGTTTCGTCTCCATCTTGGCAGAGCTTTCGGCCTTGTCCAGTTTTTCATCTTCACTTATGTCCGGCTTTGCTGACAAGTCTATAGTCATTTAAGGTGAGACAGTTTTGTAAAATTTTTTGTCCTGTCTTTGTCCAAATAAGTTGATCCATCAATTCAACGTCACCCGTTGGGCAGATACTGCTTCTTTATAGAATTTTACATAAATCCATTATGTATATTATTATTATTTCTTGGTCCGATTGACCAAGTAACTTCTTTCAATTAATTAATCTTTATGGAAGGTATTGGTTGAAATGAAAAAGCTAGTGTAACGAGCGGGATTCGAACCCACGACCTTCGGCTAAATACGCAGCTGCTCTACCACTTGAGCTATCGTGACTTCAATCCACTCGGTCACCAACTTCTCATCTCAACTTACCTTTCAGATTTTCCCTCCTTTTTGCCACTTTTTAAATGTCGTCTAATCAGGATTCGATTCTCGGCAAATGAATTTTACATACACCTAGAATAACCTTCCTCCCTAGACCTATATGCTATATCTTCGCTACTCTTCAGTCCTATGTGCCTAGGATCCACATAAAACGTTTATCCTCTGTTTCTTTCTCTCTCATGAATAATTGATCTAACCTGTACTTGATAACAACCATATTATCTTGTGAATCATTTTCCTTAGTACTCATAATTGATTAACCACAGAGAGTATAATTTAGTGGGTCAAAACTAAAGAACAGGCAATATAAATATGATTTACATTTAGAAACTCCAAGAATTTTTTGTTTTAAAATGGCGTTTCAATCATTTTGAAGAAAAAAAATACAAGTGCAACAAACTTGTGAAAGGTAGAAAAGCTGTACTTTGTTCACGTCAATTTATTATATGAAGAATTTCATACTAAAAAGCTGGTAATTATTGAATTTTCTTAGTTTCAGTTATGCAATTTATGGAGCAGCTTCCACAGCAGCAAGGCCTAATGTCGGTGACAATAACCGAGTCGAGGAGTCGGCTAGAGCCTCTTTGAGTTGAGAGCAACTTGTTGGTAATGAGGTGGAGGAGACTTCACCGAGATTAAACCGGTCCTTTGACCTTCTCATCAATGGAACAAATAAGCTCCTCGGCTATAGTAATACCTCACATACTAGCCAAGAAAATTAAGATACCTTTGTCTTAAGAAGGGCCCACGCTTTTATAGTCTTGGACAAATCCAATCATAATTATTTGTTTTTAAACAGCAAATATATTTCTTTAAAATTAAGAATAAAGATAGAAAGATAGGCATAATTAACAGGTTTTGTTAAACAATTCACGTCCATTCCTCCACCTAAACGCAGTTAAGCTAACTGAAAAACCCACGGCTAAAGCTGTCTAGCAGTGCATATGATATTTGTGCTGTTTAGTGCTCCATGATTTAATATAGCTCTAATGACCGTATTGAACTATTCTTGTTTTGTTTTCTTCTTAGGGGTCTGCGGGGTGATGAAACCTTTGGAACATTTTGGTCTGCGTAATCGCAGTTTTCTCTAATTTCGTCTCATTTGCTCAATCTATGGATTTTTATTCAGAAATCGTGAGATGCGGTCTGGTGTGGATTTTTGTCCGACCCTGTCATAATCATATTTCGAATACGTCTTTATTTAATCTTCTTTTATTTTAGGTTTTTAAGGATCATGTTAATGATTCGTACCTGATGAAACAATAAGAAAAGACTTCGCCAAGAAGAACCGCAATACGCGAATGTTACTGCCTAATAAGAAAGTTTTTGCCCACGACCATACATAAACATAGCCCATATTAGCGGGATTCGAACCCACGACCTTCGGCTCAATACGCCACTAATCTAACCACTAGAGCTCAAAATAGATGAAAAGAATAATTAATTGGGATAATTAATATGCTCAATTATGACCACTAAACAAATATAGATTAATTTAATAATTAAAAAAGTGATTACTTCACTAATAGCTCCCCGTTGCCACTTCATAAATCGTTGAGAATTAAATTACACAACTGGAGATTTGGCAAAAAGAAGGAAAATTCGAACGGTTGTAGGTTGAGATGGGAAGTTGGTGTCCGAGGGGATCGAAGTCACGATAACTCAAGTGGTAAGAGCAGCGGCGTATTGAGCCGAAGGTCATGGGTCCGAATCCCGCTCGTGACAGTAATTTTTCATTTCAACCAAAAACCATAGATGA